TTTATTTTCTGAGAAGAGAGGGCACGGGTAAGGGATAATGGTTCACCCAATAGCTCACAGTATTTTCTGAGACAAGAATGGATATAGTGCCGAAAAGGAAAACTGCATCTTGAATGAGGATGAGACAAAGCATATGTCTTGCAATAGAATGGGACTCATGTGAACATCGCTTTTTCACATTCATACATTTTGTAAGAAGATGCCAAAAGGTTCTTCTTTTTCAACCGTAAATGCACCCCCTCTCTCTTCAAATTATTCTCTTACTAATCTTTTTAACTAAAAAATAGTAATACGGATCAAATTATTTCAGTAATTAAAAAATAATTGTCATTCTTAAAAATTATGAGTTCAAGTATCAGTTATCGTAGAAGAATGATTGAGTATTTAAAATTAATACTACTTTATTTTATATTATAGATGAATTTATAAAATTTAAAGGAATAAAAATACATTATGAATAAAAAATATTTAATTTATAAATTTATAATTTTTTAAGGAAACTGTATAACTGTTCTTCTCGAGTGAATGGGCCGACCTAATTTCGTTATAATATTCACCCGTGAATGGGTAGGCAATGGTGGTGGGGTAGAGGCAAGAGTGCAAAGGTACTCACGAGATAAAAAAAAATTACGCCAATTCCAAGGAAAGTGACATCAATAACCCAATAAGTGGACCCATTCACTCACTCTCCGACACTACAGGCCAAGCAGCAAAAAACCAAAACTCCTATTTTTGTTCACAAGATAAAAAGAAAACAGTGTAAAGAAAGTCTCACTCTCACATAATGCCCTTTGTACACAAGAGTGCTACCTCCACGTCATATATATTACTCCATTTGTCTCTCTTCCCGTATCAACAAAATCATTTTCCAACAATGGAGTTGGTAAGTAAGAATGAGTCCTTCATTTACAAACAAAAACAAATGATTTTCTGGTCTTTGTTTCCGAACTATTTCATGTTCCTTGACATACAATGTGTACTTACTTTGCCTTGTTGATCTTGCAGGTAACCAGTATGTCCATGGTACTTGTGTTGGTGCCATTAATATTAGGAGCTGAGGCCAGGAAAGGAAGGGTGTTGGAGTCCTTTGAGTACACAGCTATGAGTTGCAGAGGACACACTGCATCGATAACGGATTTCGGCGGAAGCGGTGACGGTAAAACATCGAACACCAAAGCATTTCAAGATGCAGTTAATCATCTGAGCCAGTATGCATCCGATGGCGGGGCTCAGCTCTATGTTCCTGCTGGACAATGGCTGACTGGGAGCTTTAGCCTCACCAGCCATTTCACTCTCTATCTTCACAAAGATGCTGTTCTCTTGGCTTCTCAGGTTTGGTTCCCTACGTCGAATTTCATGTCGAGAGTACCTCGTCGGTCCATTTGCCGCGACACTCGAAGCTCGTAAATTGGACTTATAAACGGTTATATCTAACTTTTATGGCTAATGAACTGGTTTAGGACATGAACGAATGGCCCGTTTTGAAGGCGTTGCCGTCTTACGGTCGAGGAAGGGATGCAGCCGGTGGAAGGTTTGCCAGCCTTATATTTGGAACTAATCTCACTGATGTAATTGTCACAGGTAGATTCTTAAGCTGTGCTTACACATTTATCAGTATCCATTTTACAATAATAAATCTGTTTATGCTGTAATAATCAGGGGCCAATGGTACAATCGACGGTCAAGGTGCATTCTGGTGGCAAAGTTTCCACAAGGGAAAACTGAAATACACCCGACCTTACCTGATCGAATTCATGTACTCGGACAATATCCAGATTTCCAATGTAACCCTTCTCAACTCTCCATCGTGGAATGTTCATCCAGTTTATAGCAGGTATCTTCAATCACAGACGTCCACGTGGCAAAAAAGGGACATGATTGGTTGACCTCTGTTTTTTTCCTTCATTATTTGATGCAGTAACATTCTTGTACAAGGCATTACCATTATTGCTCCTATTACATCTCCAAACACAGATGGTATCAATCCAGGTATGGTTTTTTTTTTTTGGTTTCAAGCCAACAATGATTTTAAAGAAATTTAGGTTGTTAATGTCTAATTACTTTTTGTTTGAATTTGATGATCAGATTCTTGCACAAATATTAGAATTGAAGACAGCTACATAGTTTCTGGGGATGACTGTATAGCAGTGAAGAGTGGTTGGGATGAATATGGGATTTCATTCGGGATGCCGACCAAACAATTGGTCATTAGGAGGCTCACATGCATTTCTCCTTACAGCGCGGCCATCGCGTTGGGAAGCGAGATGTCGGGTGGGATCCAGGACGTGAGGGCCCAAGACATCACGGCCATCCATACGGAATCCGGGGTCAGGATCAAGACTGCTAGAGGAAGGGGCGGATTCGTGAAAGACATATATGTGAAGGGAATGACTCTGCATACCATGAAATGGGTGTTTTGGATGACGGGGACCTACAAAGCACATGCCGATAATCACTATGACCCCAATGCATTACCGGTGATTCAAGGGATCAATTATAGAGACGTCGTGGCGGATAACGTGTCGATGGCGGCTAGGTTGGAAGGGATCGAAGGAGACCCTTTTACTCAAATCTGCATATCAAATGTCACGATCGGAATGGCACCTAAGGCTAAGAAGGTGCCGTGGACTTGCACCGACGTTGATGGGATCACGAGTGGAGTAAGTCCTCGGCCATGTGAACTACTACCGGATCAAGGGCCGGAGAAACTCAAGGCTTGCGACTTTCCGGCAGAGCCTTTGTCTATTGATCAAGTGGTGCTCAAAAGTTGTACCCTAAGGATGAATTACGTGTGATCTGATGCTAGCAAAGTAAACCAAGTTGGTAGCTATCAGTACTAAAGTGCTCTCAGAGTTGAGAGCTTTCAAATTTCTGTATCTTAATTTACTTTATGAAAGTGTCACATTTCATGTAATATAAATCAAATGAATTCTCATCGACGAATGTGGTATCTAATCCATGATCACGTGCTTGGTTAAATGTCTTCTCGCTTTTCCCGCCACAGTAGTATCTAATCTCACACCGAACATCAATTTCGCCAAATCCGATAAATTAGCCTTTGGCAAAGGCTTCACAATTCATACCATAGTTGTTTGTATTTCCATTCCAACGACGTCAGAGTTCATCTCAAAAAGCTAATAGCTGCCTTCATCAATTCTTGCATTATATCCCTTGAACATACAGAGAGTAGATGTTCTAAATATTCAATGCAATTCGGTTTTGGAATGTACAGAAGATGTTCTAAAGAAGACTCATTTGGTTCTAAGTTTTGAAGCATGTGTAGAATTCAAGTTGGTAATGAAGAGCTAATTCGGTTTTGGCAAGACCTTTGGGCGATGGACTCTCCGCTCAAGGTTATTTTCCCTTGACTGTTTTCCATTTCTTCAAACAAGAGTGACAAATTAATTGAGTTCGGTGAGTTTAGTTAATGGGCTGGTTTTGGAATGTACAGTTGAGAAGAAATTTGATTGGTTGGAAATTTGAACAATGGTCAAATTTGATGTCAACCATCTCTATATTCAGTCTGTCTAAAGTGTCCAATGATGGTCTGATCTGGAAAGGTAATGAGGTTGGTGTCTATTCTGTTAGTTCATGTGTTAAGGTGTGTTCTTTGGGTTCGGAGGATGTTCATTTTTGGAAGAACATCATGCGGAGAGGATTGGTGCCTCCAAGAGTGGAGTCATTTATGTGGCAGGTGGTTCTTCAGAAGCTGGCAGTGAAGACAGAATTGGTTAAAAGAGGGGTTTTGGGAATTGAGGATGTTTTATGTCCACTGTGAAAGTTGGCGAATGAATCTTCCTCTCATTTATTCTTTTCTTGTTCTGTTGCGTGGTCATTATGGAACAAATTCATGAAGTTTTGGAGACTCAGTTCGATTTTTCATGAAAATGCTCAGAGCTTTCTTCTAGCTTGGGAAGAATTGAAATCTAATTATGTTATTTGGCCCTTTATTCCAGCTGTCGTCCTTTGGACTATTTGGAAATTCAGGAATGACATTGTGTTCGAAAGAGGGAAGATAGACCAGTCCGACTTATTTTTCTTAGCAAGATTTAGGCTTACTTCTTGGTTTTTAGTCAAGTTCAAAGAGATTTTTATCCCAAGGACTCTCTAATCAATGACCCCTCCCTAGGGGATTTTTGTTCATCCTTCAACAAATCGATTGTCTCTAAGCTTTCTTGGTCCCCTCCTCCTAAGGGATTCATTAAAATGAATGTTGATGCTGCAATTAGCGGTGACTGTAAGAGAAGTGAAATAACTGGTATTTTAAGAGATGATGCAAGTTCGATTTTAGGTTCTTTCCAGGAGGCTTCTGGCCCAGGTCCACCTACTTTGATGGAGCTAAAGGCAGTTCAAAAGGGTTTATCTTTCTTCAATTCTTTTCGAGGGTGTATTAAGGGTCGGTTGATAATTGTAAGTGATGGCAGTGGAATGGGTTAAGAATGTTGAAAAATGTCCATATGTGTTTGTAATAATTGTCAAGGACATTGTTGATAGGCTTAAAGAATCGGAGGGTGTAATTAGATGGGTTGCTAGGACTGTTAATATAGAGGGAGATTGCTTAGCTAAGGCTGGAATAGGCCAAGTACAACAATGTTGTTGTTAGGGATATTTGTTTTTGGTTGTCGGGTTGTTTTGTAAGGGGTTATTATAGATGTTTTAAATTTTATGTATCCTTTTTTATTATTAATGAAGTATAAGGCATTTTTTTCTTCATTCCGTTGATTAAAGGGCTCATTTAAGAGTTCCATTAATCATAAAGAGAGTTTTTAACGAGGCCTTCAATTCTTATCAAAAAAAAAAAATATATATATATATATATATTCAATGCAATTGTGGCAGGATTATAAGCATTACAGATTGATAAGAACGAACTGCACTAAGAATTCATCAGTCATCCAATATCATACAGTATGCATGCCAATAACTGAAAAGGTAAATTAGGAACTCATCAATCAACGCTATGCTTAAGCGAATGAAAATTTATAGTGAGTGCTGAACACTTGCAAAGAAATATGAGCCTTTTATATAATTTCTAATATAGGATGACAAGGATACATGTACAACCAATCGACTACTATCATGATACACCACATCACAACTCATACTAGCATAACCCAACGGTTGTATATGTCGACTGGTTAGAAAACATAAGGCCTCATACCTAAACAATCTGTATACAGAAGGGTATAACTTCATTACATTCATATGATTCACCTCGCAGGTTGCACTTTTACATTTTTTCTTATCATCGAATTCGGGGCAGCATCACCAGCCTTTCTCAGATTACAAAGCAATGCATCACGCCCTGTCAAAACTACCTTGAAAAAGCTATCTATTGCCTTTGAAAGATTATCCAGCCCTTGTGCTAGTTTCTCTTCCGTTGTTCTCAAATCCGAAACAGAATTCTTGAATGACTCCCGTTCACTAGGACCCACTCCAACTTGGAGCAAAGTAAACAACTTCTTGACACATGCATCAACAGCCTCCAGTTCTCTTAGAACTGTAAATTCTCCACAAGAAAATATATTTCTTATTTCAACATTCAAGGTAGTTTGAACAACTGAAAAAACTTGTGCCCATGGTAGTGTATTAGGAACAGTTAAGTCTAACAAATTCTTGGAAGAACCAGAGAAAGCAGCAGCAAAGACACTACAAATGTATGTTGTTGCCACCTTAGCTCCATACATAGCTCGCATCAACACCTTTCCTTTAGAAGAGTTCCTAACCTTTGGCAAGTTCAGTGATTCCACAAGGTTGTCCAAGATCGGCCGACAAGTTTCAACTCTCGGGTTTTTGGAGCTAATGTGCTGTTTCCAGCTATCAAGTGAGGAAGAGGCCCGTGTGAACTGCTCTGGGGAGTCGGACTCCAACTTATGCAAGACAAACTGAAGCATGAGATGGCCTTGGTTGAGGCGTGTAAGCTCAGAGGTAAAAGCATTACTAATGTCGAGCAGCTTCACACTAATATCCAGGTAAACATCCATCCATTTTTCATCCCAATCAGTCACAGGGAGGTCAAGCTCAGTTATCAGGTTTTTTATGTCACAATGGATCTCAGAAAGTGACTCCATTGCCAATTTCATCCATGACAAGCTGAGGATATCACCCTTATCCTTGGGCACAAGTTTTTCCAGCCTCCCTGATAAGGTGGCCTCAAAAGTGTTCAATAAAGAAAGAAGTCTTGGAGATAACTGAGAACTCTTAGGTGGTATCATTCGGAAAGGATTTCCAAAATGGAAGAAAGGGCGATTTGGTTCCTGAGGACGACTCATCTTGACGTATTAACTGCAAAAATTAAAAGAACAAATCCAATCATCAGAACTCAAACTCAAATCACATTAATAATCCCATGGGTTATAATAGACAAAAACACCCAGAAGTTGCCATAAGTAATCATCTTTATAATTAAAGCACAGAAGCTTTAAAACCATAATCTCCATAACTACAATTAACCATTAGTTCCAGAACACAACAATAAGGGAGTTCCTCCCAAAACCCCACTTGTTTCTAATCAGAAGGCAAATTAAGTTGAACCCTACATCGAGACTATACCACATAAACATCAAAATTCATAATCAATTAGATTAGCTGAATTTTGTGGATTAAGAAAAACGATTAACCCCAGTAAAGACCAATTGTTTTACACCAAAATCATGACAATATATGCAAAAGATATGGTGAAACAGTAAAATAAGGAGACATGTTTGAAAACAATCAAGTCAAGGCAGCAAGCCAATATCTCCTTGATTACCTTCATTTCCTTTATGGTCGTCCAAGAAAACACTGAAACCACATATTTGAAACAAATCTTTAACATCCGAAGTCATAAACACGTAAACTAAAGCCAGATCTAATAAAAACTATCACAAATATATCCGCAAACATAAAGTCAAACAAATCTGAAAGTAAATAACCAATTATATATATATATATATATAACCTTACCCAGTATTAGATCCTTAAATCCGAACAGAAGTGAAAACTCTCGACAAATTGATAGGACCTTGTTAGGAACTGAAGATTAAAAATGACAACCTAAAACTAAGATTCCTCAACTACAAAATTTTATCGAAATAAAAAGAAGCAAAAAAGGAACAGAAACAAATCATAAGCCTAAACCTAACAATCTTCATCTCATAATAGAATAAATAATTTGCGTTTCTTTAGAATCGCACAGAGAACAGATAATTGAAGCGATCTAAAGAAAAGTAAACACAACGGAAATGAAAATAGAGAATTCCACCTGATTTAGTACTTCGTAATCAGGAAATTTCTATGAAATCTTCGAACGCGTATTGGGTATTTGGTTTGGTCTTTCCGTTGAAATTCCGCCTTGGAAATATCAAATATGTAGTGGTTGATGAGAGTATTGATTTAACCACTGCCTGTCACGAGTATTCTGTCACAGAATACATACGTGGAGGACAATGATTGGGGAGAAATGGGAGATATTGTCGTTTTTGTCTTACATAAAGGCCGTCGGCTAGAATTTATCTTTCAACGGACCAAACTCCACACGTCAGCTCTATTTAACAAAGCCTTTTTTAGAGTTTGTTTGGTCGGTGGAATTTAAGATTCTCATGGTAATGAAATTCACATTTTTCGTTTGGTTGATAGGGAATGTCATTCTCGATAATCTTATATTATCAATAGTAAATTTTTTGGATATATTACCGGGAATGTCATTACCTCCCTTTCCTTAGGTATTATTGGATTACCGACGTTTTAGACTAAAATGCCCTTAAAAAATTCTTTGCAAAAATATATTTATTCTTTCATTGAATAATAAAAATTCTACGAAGGTTAAATTATAAATTTATCCTTAAACTATTTTAGATTTACAAAAATAATTCTATAATTAAAATTTTATATGAAGTTCAGGGATTAAAATAAAATTTTACCCTTTCATTAAACTTTTTTATATTTTCAATTTTGTAAAAAAAATTATATAAATTTTATGAATTTAAATTTTTTAAATAAAATATATAAATATTTTTCAACTTGTTAAAAAACAAATATAATAAGGATAATTTAGTTATATATACATTCCAATAATCTTTAATTCCTTTAACCAAACACGGTAATCTTACATTCCTGCTAAACCAACCAAACACAAAATACAATATTTCCAGTAATCCTATTCTCTGGTAATCTTTTATTCCCACTGGTAATCTTACATTCCGTGAACCAAACGCACCCTTAGTATATTACGAAAACCCAGCGGGTACAAACTACAAATAGGCTGCGTTTAGTATGATTTTTTTCCTTAATTACGAAAATGGGATATATTAATTAATTAATTAATTATATTTTAAAATTTAATAAATATAAAATACCAATTTAACCAGTGTCATCATAAATCGAAATTATCACCAATCTCTCTTTGTATTTTTATTATATCTGAAAGAAATTTTAGTTTCGATATCAATTTAAAAACAATAAATTCTTTAATTCTTTTATTAAATAATCAAATTAAAAACGAATACGAAATGCATTTTTAAGACTTACTTAATTAACAGAAAAATAATAATAAAAATAGAAAGCCAAGCTTGACGGGTTCTTCGTTCCAAAACAATAACATAACCATTAAAGCACGGCAATCTAATTTTTTTTTATTTTTTTCTCCCTTTTCAGAAATGGTCAGCATTGGCGAACGCTGTTTTTAATTAAAAAAATATCCTAAAATAAATAACGCACATTTATCATGTTCATTTTTCTTAAATTAGTCGTGAATTAAAAATGGATCGGAAAGCTCTTAAAATGGACGTAGAAATCCAAGTACATGAAGCGGGAGTAATAGCGGTTGCATAAGATCTATGGCTGTAAATGAACTGCTACTCATTTACCTTTAAACTTGATAAATGAACATAAACATGTATCGATCGAACAATATTTATTTTTACTCGGTTCTTTACCAAATATATATATGATTAATGAGTAAAAAGTACTTATTTTTCTTATGTCGAAGGGATCTCTAAGACTCCTCCTCAATGTTGATTCTTTGGAGTAGTAAACAATAAGATCCTCCACCAAGTGGATATCAACTTTTCACATATAGGAGGTAAAGGGAAGCGAAAATTAAAGGTATATTAGGTTAAGTGATGCGAGTCTTGTGAAAGACAAAATAATATTAAATTCCTTTTAAATAGATTTCGATCTGAATTAATTTTAAATTCAATCGAGAGTTAAAACTATAGAATACTTAAACGTACAAAATCTACTTAGCCCCATATTGGGACCCTTCCTCTTATGGTATGATAATTCCCATATAAATTTGGCAAGTTACCATAAGCCCCAAATTGGGTAAAGTTGGCTCATTTGGTCGGCGAAAAAATGGCATATTAGGGGGTCTCTAAATTAATTTTGGATCTACAATATTTGATACAATAATTTGGAGCTCGGCACGTGAACACGACGAGTTCCAATAAAACATTTTTTTATTGAAATTTATCGCTTGACTTGACAAATTCTAATGTAAAGATTATATATATTTTTAAAACTTATCACGTCGACGTAACGAGTTTGAACAAAAAATATTATTTGGGTAAACTCGTTACGTGGATGTGACGAATTCTCCTTCCGTAAGATTTGCCGTAAATCCCAAATTAATTTTATAGATGACCTAACAAATTATTCTTTTTTTCTCTTCTCGCCTGTGGAGCCAATTTTGCTATGCACCATTACCTCACTTTAGGCACTACAGAAGGATTAGTTCCCTCATCATCATATCAGAAGTTCACATCCCCTGCTTTACATTCATAATTCTGAAATTTAATTGCAATTTTACCCACATACAGGATACAGATATTGGCAACCCCATAACCCCATAAGCATTTGACTGAGCATTTGACAGCTCAGTGGTCCTCAAAATTATTTATATTATTTTTTCCTTTTCCATTTACTTTTACCCTATTTGTTTTTTTTTGGGCCATTTCAAAGTATTATATCCTTTTTGCAATCGTATACACTTAATTACGAAGCCGAATGTATTTTTAAATATAAGTGCAATACTATTTAAACAAAAAATGATTTCTCTACCCTCAATTACTCCAAATCACCAATTAGAAGCGGCGATTATCTCGAACCGGATGAATCGTTGCTCTATATCGAAATGATTAATAATCAATCTAATATCAGTGATTTCATGATTAATGGGACCATTTATGATTCACAGGTAACACAAAATGCATGAACCAATTCACTTCAATAATTAATACGACCATTATTGTTCTAAGAAATTATCGATTTAAGCACCAGTTACAATGACAGAATAATTGAGCATTTATTATCAAATGGTCGAGAGATAAATGGGGAGAACATAATAATAATTAATCAAAGTTTCATTGCATTCAATATGTTTGGGTCATTGTCTAACGCCTCTCTCTTCCCTTTTTTCTGTTTAGTTCCGTCCATGTAGCTTTACCTTCCTGACTAAGGCGAGCCTTTCTTTCTCACGTGTGCCCGAACCAGAGACAACGTGAGGAGGCCATGCAACCCGATACAGATCAACAAACAAAATATTACAACCAAATGAAATCATCCAACCCCTATTTTTATATTCTCTCCCTCCCTATCACTCTTCCTTTTTGTCCGCTTCGTCAAGTGCGGCCAACCTTTCTACGAGTGGGGGATGAGAATAGTGATAAGCAGAGTACCACGGATCCGTATTCATAGCTGATAGATTTTCCTCCTGAAAATTATACACCAAAAACTCTCAGCTCGGTAACATGTATGCTCACTAGTAACATGCACCAAAAAAGTTGAGCAGTTTTCATAAACGACATAGTAGACCCGAGTTCAAACAACAAAGGGAAGTCAAAATGACCAGAAATTCACCTGCAGCTTCACTAGACCGGCACGCAAAGCAGATCCATAGTCAAGCTTCTTTGCAAAGGCATCAGCCTACATAAAGCAATGAATATTGAACACTAACATCGATCTAAAAAGTAATGAGAAAGAGGGAGAGCTACCATAACTGAAAATCAGAATTCACTGCAAAAAGGAAGTTACCTGAAATTCAAACGATCTGCTTACAAGATTGAGACCAAAGCTTACAAGGTGTTGGATTGGTATTACAGTATGCTGTCCATATGACAAGGTCAGAAAAAAAGGTTAATCACTCAAGAGCTATTCTCCATCCATGATGAAAGATTAGTGAACAACAGTCTGTAGCTTTCAATCCTATGTATAATCAAACAGGCAAAAATATGTTTGCTCCCTTGATAAGAGCTTAGTCGTACTTATATAGTGGGTCCTATTATTAGACTACATATTTCAACTACGCATACATTGTTTAGATATTTTAGTACCTGAAATATGATAAGGCCAATCAGTACAGGCTGTGTGTCAAACCCAAAACTTCGGAAAAGATCAGTTGAGTTCCTGACCAGTGTATAACCTCCAAATTGCAAAAACGTAAGAATCTGCTTATGGAAGAAAAAGCAGGCATCATAAATCAAAGCATGGAACTAGTCACAGAAGCAAGAAACTAGACATGTTGACTTCCAACTGAAGAAGTCGAGTAGAGCATAATATGATGACAAAACACATATCATGTTCTAAATATTAAGCAGAATACATTGTTGTTTTAGAAGGCTTAGGCAGTTTGTGTGGTTCGTTGACATGCTTTTTTGTTTCATCTTCTTCCTAATATTTTGTGGAGCTAGATGGAGGATACCGGACAACAATAAATAACGGCAACAATAAATAAAAGGTTTTTTCTTTCTCTCCAGAGAGAAAAAGCTTGCAAGAGAACAACCACTGCTTACCTGCACAGCAATAAATGAGTACATGGTATGGTTTAACTTCCAATGCCCCAGTTCATGAGCAATAACAGCAACAATTTCCTCGTCATTTTTGCACTGCAAAAATACAACTGCATAAATAAGACTTTTCCAAAACATTAAAGGAGCCTTCACTACAGAGACAATTTATCATTCTTTCCGACTCCTAACTTGGAAAAGGCAAAAATTAACTATTTAGCAGCTTTCATGTTAAGACAAAACGCATCCTCAAAATCAAGATAAATAGAATGGACTTATGTATAAGTTCCTATATGATTGTTTGCTAAGAGGAAAATCTACTGGCATAATATTAGAATACATTCGCCACAGACTCAAAGTCTCCAGAGATTGGCAGGCAATGTGCTTATTATACAAATAAATTATGCATTACGTTAAAGGCACAAGTTACTGTTATATGCTCAACAGCAGAATAAACAAGGTTGAATATCGAAAAGAGATTGATTCTGAACTGAAGATTAGAAGACAGGGATATTCACTGAAAATAGCTTCAATACAAAATCAGCATTACTAGGTAAAATGAAGACTAATTGCTTCAATAAAAAATCAACATCACAAGTCACTGTCATGTGTGTCTCACAATGAATTGAAGACAGTGATCAAGTTACACAGACAAAAATATCAAATCTTCCACTGCATAAAAACATGAACGTTTCCATCTATTATTTGCTCAACACAAAAATCTTAAAAAAATGAAACGACAAATATAAGAGATGAATAAACTTTTACTTAGTATCAGATCCTCCATACCTGCTGAATCAATGTGTCATAAAGGACAATACGCTTGTTCTTAAAGAATCCATACATATAGGCCTGCATGACATTGAAAGCATTAAATCATAAGTGCGATAAAAAGTCACTTTTGAAATCAGTTATGATGTGAATAAGTAACGAATATTATCAAACTGAAAACAGACACAGTTGGCTTGTTCTCAATGCCATCCACCACACTAAACAAATCATTATTCTATAAATATCAGTTCAAAGCTTTACATAAATGGTTTTATAGAAGAAAGGCAAAATGTAATCCTAAATGATAGAATATGAAAATGTTTACAAACACAACCGATTGAACCAACCAATGATACTTACATTGCTATGGCTTGATCTTGTGGATCCATCAACAACAAACAATTTCTTTAAAGGAAATTTTAGGGAAGAAGCAAGCTTCTCAATCTTTTGCCTGAGCTCTCCGTCAGGAAGCTATTTCCCACAGTCATACCAAGCAAAACAAAAATAATTAGATTTGGGGAAACTAAGACGCTTGAATGAAACTATGACACAATGGTCATGAAATACTCACAGGGGTGAACTTGTTAAAGAGTGGAGCTATCAGAATGGGGTAAATTGTCATCATCACAAGAGAAAGGACAAACATAAATCCCCAAAGATAGATAGCTAGATATGGACCCCCCTTCTGCAATCTCAGAATTAAGATTCAACATAGTGAGAAAAGGATGACATAATAGCAAAACAACTAAGGAATAATTAAGAACGTAAAATCTTGTTGTTAAGCTAACAATTGTTTGATTACAACAGCAAGGACTAGCAATGTTCTACCAAAGAAACCAAATGCTAGAAATGTGCACAAATTTTACCTGTACTATCCAAATAATAGCAGAAACAATAGGTGGACCAAGTACAATAGCAAGAAACATTCCTTTGATAAGGTCCCTAATGAATAACCATATTGTTTGCTGACAAAGAAATGAGAATATAGTTAGGAACAGAAAGATAAGGGTAATCTAAAAATAACAAATGTTCCTAGAAATTAGAGGGAATAAACAAGGAAACAAAATGGTATAGCAAAGAAATTTAGTGATTAAGAATACAAACTTTATTGAAGCCGTGACGGGCCTCGATCACAAAAGTTGAATAAAGAGAAAAGGGTAAGTCAGTGATCTGCATTATAAAATCACAGAATAAAGGGTCAATGTTATCTTATTCAAAGTGATGATTGTTGAAAGGATCCAGAAGTCAAGGGAATATCCCGAGTTCACCTGTGACCATATCATAACACCAGCCAAAAACGAAAGAGTATGCAGTATTTCATTCTCTTCATTTAGACCAACTAAAGGCAAGAAATTTCCTGACTTCTGCAATAAATAACAATTAAATATACAAGATAGTGAAAATCAACAAAAAGAATGATCCACTAAATAAACACCAAACAATTCACCTTCCAAAACCAAGGTAGTATGCCAAAGAACAAAATTGCCGAGTCTATCAAGATTGTCACAAACTCATGAACAAAATGGAAGTGGCTGAAAAGTAAGGGAGAGGCATTACAGGTAATGTCAGATCAAGTCAAAAGGAAGCTTTATTGGTCCCTGATGATGTAATCTTGGAAATGATCGATAGAAACAACAAAACCAACCTCTTATCAAGACTATAGGCTCGGGATTTTTCAAATTTCTCTTGGCTGATTACTCCTTCCAATGTTTTTGGAAGTGTAGGCAATTTGAGAGCAGCATGTTGCCGTAAGTCCAGATAAGTTTCAAAGAGGTACATTAAAATCATAAAACCTGCAAATAATAGTGGGTAAATCAGGGAGAGAAAAAAGCACATAGCACAATTACAAACTCTAAATGGCAAAACCATCAAATCAGGACAATCATAAAGAGCAAAATCTTTTCTTTAAGAACGCTGACAACAAAGTGATAAACAAATCCCACAATCTGCCTCGTACTTTTCACAACACAGTCCTTAATAAACATAAAAAAGTGAAATCCAAACGGATTGCATTTAAGTGAAATGCAAAAGAAAAGGAAACAATTATGCAGAGATTGAAAGTTCATTATCTTACAAATCATTGGACCCAAAAACCAATAAGCTATGCTATATTCAGTTCAACCAACAGTTTCCACAAACATGATCTGTCTAAATAGTTGGAATTGTACTTTAACTACTGTTCCAAAGGTTTTTAGCAATCAACAGGAAGATAAACTCCAAGGACTTAGATACAAACATAATAAGCATGACCAAAATTACAAAAGCATCCACATGCCCAAGAACACAAAACACCTCAATATGGCGTAAATGCAAATATATATTTTGATTCTTTCATAGGAAAAACTTCATTATGACGATTACACAGTTACCAGCAACTTGCAAGCTACTTAGTTAGTAGATCGACCCCCTTCCCCTTCGGTCAATCACAAACAGGATACTTACAGAAACTATTAACACAATTAACTCATTTCTATATATTTCCTTTATATTTTATATATGTGAAACGGAAAAAAGAAAGAAAGGAGCTTGAAAGATGCTTAAAAGCCAACTTCAAAACCTAGAATTTTCAATCATTACAGATCAAAGAAAACACATAACTGAAACTGGGAAAAATATATTTTAACTATTCTATTCAAAATCATATAAACAGAAAAAGAAGTGGTACCCATAAGCAGAGTAGTGAGACAAGAAAATAATATAAGGGAAAATGCCCATGTGAAAACGTAAAAATCTAATATTTTAAACCCGAACCATAATTTTTCAGAACAAAAAAAAAGCAAGAATATGCTAATATCGGGACAAATAGTGTGGGAAAGACGAGTTTTGACAGGAATATAAATCTGGAAATAAAAGAAATGGATTCAAGCTAAAAAGAGAACAAGGAAGAAGAGCGTACCAACAACAGCTTCCATGTAAGGAAAAGCCATGTCGTGTCGATGAAGAATTCAGAATCCAAAGGGATAAATCGGTAGAGAAAGATAGGAAGGGTTTTTGATACGGACTTAAGTCTCTGCGATTTATATAATATAAATGGTCTCTATACGGGTACGGTTTTAAAACCCGCGTTCGACCCGAAAATCACCATCCGGTTTCTGATCTCCAAAAAAAAAAAAAACATTAGTGAAAACGTTAAATTCATTTTTGGAAAAATAATTAGCGTCGGCACGAATCAACTCAGTAGTTAAATGAATTATTGTTGTTTTTTGAGACTATAAGTTTGATCACCAACAACAGTATCATGATGATTAAACGTTTATTGTTAAATAATTAAAAGTATTTACAACATATACTATTTTGTAATCACTTTAATTTAATAAAAAAAATAATACCCTTACAATAAGGGGATAATGAATATCAGTGCACGTACCAGAAAGGAGAACTTTAAGCAAAAACTTTTCAACAAGAACTTTATTGAGCGTGTTCGACAACGAGAAAAAAATCAGCAAATCCAATTAGAAGAAGAAAGAAGGAATTTCCCATAGATTTCTCAAGTGTCTTCTCAGTAAAATTCAGCACTTATTTGTACTTGTTTCGTTTTAGCAAATGAGAAAGTCCACGAGCCCCTTAGGTGTAATTTTTTTCCTTATTCTTCGGCATCCTTCTTTGAGAAGTTGCTGTTGATATCTATGTTCTCAACATTACCTTCCCTAATCGAGGAACTCTGTCCTCAAGGTTCGACTTCTCTTAATTTTCCTTCTTATCCTCTGATTTCAAATGTTTTTTTTATTAATATAGGTAAGTATAAGATAATATTTATTTTCAAAGTTGAATAATTTACTTTTTATTTTTGTGATCAAAATATTAATACATTTTCGAGTTAGTTTAATGGCTAAGTGGAGTACCGTTTTTATGCATAAACGTAGAATTTTATATTAGAGGTGACGAGCTTGTAAAATTTTTAAAAATATAAATTTATAAAATTTTAAGGAAGCAAAAAAACAGATTTTTAATAGAAAATATTTAAAATATATAGAATTTTAAAATTTTTAGAGTAATGACTGCAACTACCCGTCTCGCCTATATCCATACCGGCATGTTTAAGTATATGCTTTCCCGAGTTCTTCAATTTATTTTTCTTTGATACGGTGACCAACGTCTTATTGATCTAAACAAAATTATTTAAAAATTAACACATAAACTCATAGTATGGAGAGAAAATAATATCTAAAAAAATCACATCAATAAAATTAATGGCCGATGATCAAAATAAATGATATAATACTAGAAATGATTTTATTAAAAACTATAGTTAGATGATCAAATTAGAAATTATGTAATAAATTGGTGACTAATAGTGTAGTTACTCTAATCTTTTTTTTTATATCATTGTTCGTGTTAAGCGTAATGAAAGGTGGAGAACGTCATTTCTGAAACAGTAAATTGCAGTGAGAGAGAGGGGGGAGAGAGGCATTGGCAGTCACTGGTCCATCTTAAAAGTAAAAAACTTCTCTCTTCAACCAAAATACACGCAATTTGCTATCTCTTTCTATGACATCGATCAATTGAAAAAGAAGGGGGGAAAATAAAGCTAAAAAAAGTTTCAGATCCAAACCATAACTCTCTCTATAACTTCCCCCTCTCACACTTTTTTCGATCCAAGTAGCTCGTCTTCAATTTTGTTTTTCAATGTAAAGAGCAAAACCCTAGTTTTCTCCCTGAACTCTGGCAGCTTAGCACAAAAACCCGAGAAATTATCATCTCGATTTTATGAGCTTTCACTGGGTTCGTTGTTTTGACTGACACGTATATTCAGGATGTGCTGGTTTCTGTGTAAATAGGAGAGGCAGCTAGAGCTAAACTGTTAAGGAGTATTTCGTGTATTCTCATCTTTAAATTTGTGTAGAAATGAGCTTAGAATGTGAAGAGCAACATTCATTAGATCAGCGTGCGGATACCAGCAAGGAATCTCAAAAGTAATCACTTCTTTCTGCTGAATAATAAATTTTTGGTTAATGTTTTGCAGATGTTTTCGGTTGAGTGACGCCGATAACCAATTTGTTTGTTTCATGATTCAGGAAATCTAGAATTTCATATGCTAGAGATTTTCTGCTGTCATTGAGTGATCTGGATGTTTGCAAAAAGTTACCCCCGGGATTTGATAAATCAATTTTTAGGTGAGACTCTTTTTTATGGACATGGAGTATGCACTTGATGAAATTATGAATATGAAGAAGGCAAACTTAGATCCTGTTGGTATTCATTGGTTATTTTGTGGTTGGAACAGTGAATTTGAGGATACATCGCAAGATCGGCAAAGAATTCCTGGCACCTTCTCAGCTTACAGGCGAAATGAATGTAGTTCATCACCGCCGACAAGAGGGGAATCAGGTAACTATTCCCGGGGCATTCATGGACGGTGGGACAGTCGCTCTAGTGGAAAGAGTGATAGAGACAGTGATACCCAGTCTGATTTGGACTCTGGTAATGTTTATGGTTCTTTTGTTCTATCGGTGCTATTATTTTGTGTTTACTGTTTATTTGGACTACTTTGTAGCTCCGTGCATTGTACTTTCTGTTGATTCATGTGGGTAATTCACTCTATCACTTCAATCTCAACGTTGTTTGGTAAAACCATTCTTATAGTTGGAGTTTTTATCCACTTAATTTATGTGTTGCATACAGCATCTAAAAATTCTATCATGGTAGAAATTGAATGATTCTAATGATATATAGATCCTAGAAGACGCCATGGTAATCAATCCCAGCAGTCTTGCCATGGTCCTGAGAATGACGGGCTTCTGGGGAGTGGTTCTTTTCCTCGACCATCTGGATTTACAGCAGGAGCTTCTGCACCAAAGTTTCGAGCTAATGATCAATACCATCTAAATAAAAGTAATGAGCCATACCACCCACCCCGTCCTTATAAGGTACTTGTTTGCTTTTATTATCTTTTGCAGATAATATTGAGACTGGTATCATGATAGCTGTTTTTATTCAAGTTAGCATAAAAAACATATCTCAAAGTATTCGGCTTAAATAATATCTGCCTGGAATTGTGAGACGATACAGTAGCAATTGAAATACGGTTTTAATAGATGTCATTTATGTGCCAATATCATTCCAGGCTGTACCTCATTCAAGGAGGGAAACTCATGACTCATATAATGATGAAACATTTGGCTCCACTGAGTGCACTAGTGAAGACAGAGCAGAAGAGGAAAGAACAAGAAGAGGTAGGTTCTCTGTTCTAGAGAACTCATTTCTGATTGTAGTTTATTTTGTTTATGTTTTATCTTCGTTCAGTTCTCTGGTTTAGTTTTCAAATAATAAAAGCTAAAGTATGATGACTTTCCCTCTTAGCTTCCTTTGAGTCATGGAGGAAGGAACAACAAAGAGCATTCCAGGAGAAGAAGATTAATCCTGAAAGGCGTAAATATGACTTCGATTTTTCTGAATTGCTAATGGACTCCAAAGATGACAACGGACTTGCAAACAGAAGCAAGGAATCAGATGAACCTATTCCAACATCAAATAATATTTCTGAAAAATCATTTCTTCCTGTACAAACTCTTGCTTCCAGACCACTTGTACCACCTGGTTTTGCAAGCACAATTTTGGAGAAGAATATTGGAGGGAAAACTTCAATGTACTCCCATTCTTCACGTGTAAGTACTACATTGGTTTTCTGAATTTAATACCAATTACGATCTATTTTTTAAGCTTTTGGCATGTAATCTTGATTCCAAGTGTCAATCATTGGTTTTCAAAGTTTTCGTCCTTTTCCCTTCTCATGGTCTTTAATTGTTACCTTGAGCCAACTATTCAATCTTCATGTACTGGGTGCTTCCGTAGTTATAACAGGAATAAAGTTGGGAATCATTTGAAGAATAGAGGCAATTTTGAATTTTCCCTTTTTGTGGTTGGATTGGGGAGAAAACAATTTTATCACTTAAGATCAGCGCATGAAAATGGGCATAAATAATTAAAACTCAATTGGAACTTTTGTGATCTTTTCCTTAATCCTTATTCATTTGGGTTGACTGGAAAAGACTTCTTGTCTTATGCATAGTAGTTTGTACATGACACCAATAGTAGACATGCATCACTAAGACAATAACAAAGATGATTTATTTTTGTAAGTCACTTGATGTAAGTATAGATTGGACAAAGGTTGCATTGTGCTCTTCTTTGAAGTGACGTGTGTTTGTTTTCCTTGTTTTGGCCTATATGTTTGGAGTGATGAAAGATTGGGTATTATTACCTTGTGGTTGTTGCTTGCATGTGGTTTTCATTAAGTAGCTGTAAATTTCATATTTGTAACTCAGAGCTAATACTATTAGGACAAAGCATGTTTCAATTATATCAACTGATATTGCACCTCATATTAATCACGTGCATTCTTTTCTGTTACTTGATTATCAATAAATATTCTGTTATGCTTCTATAGGTTGGGAGTTTTGAGATGGAGGGAAACCTTACAGAGTCCAAAGGCAGCCTTCTCTATAATGGGATTTCTGATGATCTTTTGGCAAAACAGACTAAGCTGCATGAAGAGGAAACTTTGAGTGAGCAGAGGCTTGAAAATAAAAACATTCACCTTTTATACGATAATAAGAGTGCTAATGCTTCAAGTTTCTCATCAGCTTTAGATAAATTTAATGAGACCGTTAGCAAGGATTCTCATATATACAAGAGTTCTAGCCTTTCAGAAGTCTTTGTAGCCCCAGGAAACAGTGGAGTTACTGAACTTGATTCCAAGAAGCTGCTAGCAGATAAAATGTTGCCTGAAACCAGCCAAGACGGTTCAACTTCAATTCTAGACATTTTTGGCAGTGCTGTTATAGCAGATGGAGGTGGCTTCACTGATATCACTGAGGTATTACTTTGGTTTCGGGACACATTCAAATTCAAACACATATATAGAAGACATTTACAATGAATCGCTAAAGTTGAATGTTCACTTCTAATTCCCTTGCTTAATGTGATTAGAACGATACATCATATTTACATGTAGTTTCTTTAGTTACTTTATTGTAAATCCTTCACTTCTTGTTTTCCTTGATGAAATATTTAATGACTTTTAATATCTCATGATCTTCAGCCTAATGATAGCAATACTGATGTGACATTGTCCCTTGAAAGTTCCCGTTCTAAGTTCACTCATTTGTTTCTTGATGAAGGTTTGTTGGCGCTTGTTACAAATAATCTGGTTTTTGGTGAATCTGCTTAGTTCTGAGTGAAAACTATGATCTAATATTCTTGTTTTGTTCTCATCTTTGCAGAGAAGAAACCAATAGATGATCTCTCCCCTGGCAAGCCAAAAGACCTGCTTTCATTAATTCAGGGAGGTGAGAAAGGCGGTTCCCATGATAGGATGGCTAGTAAGCATGTTGTATCAAACTTTCCATTTCAAATCTCTGAACTTGCGGACAGGCATGTTAGATCAAATTTGACATCGACTGGAATTGTGAACTTCGAGCAATCATGGAATATTAATGATGTTAACGAAGCAGCAGCAGTTCCAGCCGTCCTTACATGTGAGGATCTTGAAAAGTCAATTCTGTCAGAAAGCGCGGAAAATGATCCGAGTTTGCCTTCTGCTACTGAAGGATGGAAAATTCCTGATGCCAGATGTGAGAAGAAAGAAGTTAATGTCGACAATCATGCAACCCAGCACCTTCTTTCATTGTTACAAAATAAAACAAGTACAAAAACTAAAGTATCATCTGCCAATCATGACATCAGGTCTTCAGAAAGGGTGCAAACTGCTGACATAGCACCTTGTGATTCAATAGACACAAATGCAGAAAATGCTTCTGGTTCAGGGAAGAGTCCGACTCTTGAAGCACTTTTTGGAAGTGCTTTCATGAAGGAACTACAATCAGTTTGAGCACAAGCTTCTGTTCAGATGGGCTCAATAGAGTCTGCTAGAGTTGATGTATTCGAATCTAACAGGCTTCCCCTTAATGTCGGAGATGATAGTCTTCTTCCTTCCGCTGATCATGTCGGGTCAAACAGGGATAATTTTGAAAAAAATAATTTACCATTTTACGCAAAGAGAACAAATGAATTTTGATGGCATTGGAGGCCATTTGTCACATCTCCGAGCTGGATTAGGATCTAAACTTGGTTTTGACGGATCTGCTGAAATTGGGCTTCCTGAAGAGGATAGCGTGCTTGGTGGTAGTAATCCTGTGAAGCTCCTGAATTTCATGGCTGGTAGTGTAAAACCAGAGCTCTTGCCCTTCCAAGAGGCACCGATTGAAGTAGCCGAGAAACTAGCAGCGTTAAAGGCTGTCTTCCAAAATGAAAGAGCTGTTGTGGGAGGGAAAGAAGGTCCAAATTTTCTTCCCGGTCCTTATGATACGAGGGAGCCAGATATTCTGATTCATAACCGTAATATCCAAGCATCTTCTCCACACCTTCGTCCTCAATTGAATTATGGAGGTCCTTTGTTTCATTCATTAGACTCACATCCTTCTATCAGTTCTCAGATGAAGTTCATGGCTCCAGAAGGCATCATCCATCATAATGCCCCACCAAATCATCAATTTCCAGCAAGTGGACTAACTGGATTTGATCCTCCAATTCATCATCCTATGTTACAACGAATGCATATGCCTGGAAACTTCCCTCCACCCAACTTGCAACGAGGATTTTCTTGTGTTGAACCGCTGCCACCTCATTCAAATAATCAGATGACTGGTTTGATACCGGAATTGAATCCAATGAACAGTTTTCAATCGGGGCATGGTCACCGGTCGCTCCAACCCAACTTTGCTGGTCTTGGAATGCCTCCTGGTAAAGCATTTAATATCGTGTTTCTTTCTCATCTTTGCCAATTTCAAATTTGGAAAACCTAACCCTTTTAAGAAGTTTTATCTAACCATGTCAAAACTTTCTAGACTTTATCACAAAAGTTTAACTCATCCAGGATCTCTCAATGCTGCTGGAAAAAGCAAAAACAAGTCTGTGGGTTGTCATGTTTTGTGCACTACCGTTACCATAATGATTACATTTCACATTTTGTTTGCGTGTACTATATTATCTGTTCATTATTTCAGGGCATGACGGCAGTGGGAGCCATCATCCAGAGCCATTGCAGAGGCTTATTGAGATGGAACTCAGGTCGAAGTCAAAGCAGATCGACCCTTTCTGTGCATCCGGCTATAGTCAGGGCCAAGGGATGTATGCTCATGAGTTAGACATGGGTTTTCAGTATAGATAATGCCTTTTGGTTGTGGTTTTGCCAAAGGGTTGTTGCTACCCGAGAATTGAGGATAGGTTTGATGTTCTTAACTCTGGAGGGGATTACTGTGGCTCACTATAATTAAAATGATCATTATCTCACTTGAAATACCTTGTTCTGTGTCGTTTTCTTTCTTCATGAGTTAGATATGTATTTTATTTTCATTTTCCATTGCTTTCATAATGTTCTTGTGTGTATGTGTTTCGAATCGAAACCAAAACAGAAGCATGCTTACCTTAGATTAAAGTCATTTCCAGTGCTTAAACATGTGTATTCATTTCAAAATCAATGAAAAGTGAAAATCATAGAAAATGAGATTCATCCGTCAACTTCTATTGATCTATTAAAAAAAACCAAAGGGATAAGCTTAGTGATTAACCTTTGTAAATTACTTGTATTGCTGGAAATGTAAGTCGAGTAGAGAGTGTTGTTGGGGTACCACCGGAATTGCGGGTCGATAAGATAAGAACCTAGAGACATCGGTTGTTAGTTTTTCTAAGATTGTTGTTACTGTTAATCCCATCTTGTTTGATTTAAAGGTTTAGATAAGAGAGGAAAGGGAACGTTTACCTTAGAGAGTCTCAAGGTCGCCGGAGATGGAAGCGTGAAATGACCAATCATCATGCAATAAGAGGAGTGGCAGCCGGTCTTTTTTTTTTCTGGTCTGCAATTACGTGAGATGAGTGGAGAGGCTTGAATAATGGTGATAGATGAGAGTGACGCCGAGTGTGTGCGTGAGAAGGAGATAAAGGAAGATTTGGAGAAGAAGAGTGAAGTGTGCGGCTGGGTGGGTGTTGTGTGCGTGAGTTTAGTTTAGGTTTAGACAAATGTAAGTTTCATTTTAGATATTTAGGGTAAATCAGGTTTCCAGTCCCTAATTTTAAGACTACTTTACACTTTAGTCACCTTTAGGATTGCTTTTAAATTTAATCCTTTGTTTTTGTCTTGATTTAGTTATTGTCTAGTTTTTAGTTTTAATTATAATTTTGTTAGATTATTTGAGTGTAGATTCTTCATATATGCACATGTTCCATTTTAATCCATACTTTAGTTTTAATTTGTATGTCAAATTTTACATTCATTTAAATTTAGTCACTACATTGATGTATATATATACACTTTTTAAAATTTATAGTTTAGCATGTTATGATTTTATTTTTATATTTGAGTCACATTTTGTACATTAGGCGTTAATATGCGTAATTTATGGTTTTTTAATTAAAAGATATGTACATAATTTTTTGTATATCACATTGTATGCTATTTTTTAATTTTGGCATGACATACTTTTTGCATAATTCACATGATAGCCTCATTTGCATAACTCGACATATCATAATTGGATTAAGGGTAATATACTTTTAATTTAAAATTGTTTCAAGAGGGCTGTCATAACTGATTTGAAGTCCGCTTCTAATGATTTTAAATTAAAAGTGTATCCCAAAAGTGAAACAAAAAAATTGATTCGTCACCTAAAATTTGGGAACGAGAGAAAAAGAAATGTTCGTTTATTTAAATATATCGAGAAAAGGTTGTTATATCTTTAAGATCTGGTCTCGATATTTGTAAATAATCGAACATTCTTTATCTTTCTAAAACGACTCGGTAATTTTAATTTAATTTATTTGAGTGCTTTTGAATGTTTTTTAACTTTACATCATTGTTTTATTGGATCAAAAATTAAATTAAATTTGAATTTGTAAAGTTCATTGCAAAGACGTTAATTAATCGGCTAGGTACCGATTTAGGGCGTTGTGGGGGTGCTAATCCTTTCCCGCACGTAACCGACTCCCGAACTCGGATTTTGGTAACGCAGACCTTAATTTGTTGTTTTAATTAAAATTAATTTTTATTTAAAATAACAAGCATTTTTGGGTGCCCAATCACACCCTAATCAAAGATTGGTGGCGACTCTTTGAACTGTATTTTTCTATCGTAAAGGAAATCCAAAATTTTTCGAAACGAGAGGTTTTTAAATCGCATATGTTTTTAAATTAAAAATCAGTTGAAAGAGGTAAATTAAAAATTAATGTGGTTTTTAAAATCTCACATTTAAAAAAAAATCGTTTCGACAACTTGGCGACTCTACTGGGGACCTTTTTTAGAGAGTCAAGCCGATAGTCGATTAATTAATTGTCTTTGCAATTGAAAATTACAAATTCGTTTTAATTTGATTTTTGATCCCTTGTTTGATTTTTAATAAGTTTTGTTTATATTTTGATTTTTTTTTAATTTAATTCAATTGACAATTAAATAGTTGTACTAATCTGTTTGCTAATGGTTTCAGAATAATTGTTTGTTTTAGGAATTGATTTTGAGTGTTTTTTCTTTCGCTTTTCCTCACACACTCACAGTTGCATTTTCATGACATGAGCTAAAACCCCGCTCCGTCCTATTTAAGTAGGAGTGAGAGACTATGCCCTCGTGTGGTTTTCACCTCCGCATGGGATAGTGGATTGCTCCTGGAGCTCACGCCTTATGGTCCTCGTGATGGTAATCACCTCCTCATGGACATAAGGAGGTGTGTTCCCTCGAAATTGAACTCGATCCCCTAAAGCCTGTGATGGGCCAGGATTGAGGGTTCGGCAGCCCAAGGGGGCACCGACAAGGACAATTCGAGAACCTATTACTTTAGAACCTAACCCGGCATATAGTGAACATAGAGCCTGAACTTAGGTTGAACCAAACCCGAACCTTAAGAATCCCGTGAGGAGGGTACACAAGGAAAAGCTTTTTTGAGTCATTTATTTTCGTTTTTTCGAATAAATGCATGCGAACTAGATATCATGCGGTTAGGTGTATTTTTTGAACAAGCATGCGAATTAGATATCATGCGGTTAGGTTTTCTTTTTGTGAATAACGAGGCATGGGGGTAGATATCATATTGGGTAGGATCTGATAAAGCATGATGGGGTAGTCAACATATGTGGGTAGGATTTTTGAACAATTTATTATCCTGAATTAATTGTTTCATGTTTACTAACCGATCTTTTGTTGTTTTTGCCTTGTTTCTTTTCTGTTTTTCATTGCATTGCCCATTACATGGTGTTGATTTGGGGTCGATGTCCATATAGAAGGCCAGTAATATGGAACGAACGGTTCGGAAAGAGGTTGAGGACAATGCAGATGTTTTGAGGTGGTCGGAACAGTCCCAGTTGACCAATGGAGACAGCGTGATGCCTGGATATGTGTCAGAGTTATTTGGTTACACTCACATCAACGTACGTCAGAATGATCTGAGTGAGCTAAGAGAGATATGGGGAAGATGGGAAGCAGCCGATAAGGAGATGTTTTATCAGTTGTACGGCGATATTCCTTGTCTTCTGGATGTTCCTATTGACCGAAATCTGTTTAGAGCATTGGCGCAGTTCTGGAATCCGGCTTATAGTTGTTTCACATTTGGTAGGGTGGACCTGACACCAACAATAGAGGAGTATCAAGCTTTGGTCCGTTGTCCGAGGTCCCAAATGGATAGAATATATACCAAGCTGCCAGTCACTCCTTCATTTAAGAAGAAATTACTATTGATGACCGGAATGAGTGAAGATTGGGTAATCAGAAACATTAAGAAGAAGGGAGACAGTGAGTGCATCTCTTGGGCGGTTCTGAAAGAAGTAATTGCTCATCATCCTGATAATAGAAAGAAGCTTGATTTGTTTGCTTTAGGGATTTATGGGCTCATTATTTTTCCAAAAGTGCTAGGATATGTAGATGTATCAGTTGTTGACCTGTTTGAAAGATTAGACAAGCGTGTGGATCCTGTTCCAGCTATTCTAGCTGAGACGTTCCGGTCTTTGAGTTCTTGTAGGCGCGAGGGAGAAGGACGCTTTATAGGATGTGCGCCTTTACTGCTAGTGTGGATTCTGAGTCATTTCAAACATGTTGAAAGAGCACCAGGACGAGTATTTCTAGACGGTTTCTCACCTTTGAAGGATTTTCTTTCAAAAGAGTGGCCTGGGGGTTTTACCGAAGAAAAATGGATGGTCATCTTCAAGGTTATCAGGGATGGAGATATTTTGTGGCGAGCTTCGTGGAATACTTCTTCGGATATACTTTACCGATGTGGAGAGCGAGATTGGGTTCCTTTTCCAGGTATATGGGGTTCTGTTGGGTATGCTCCACTACTAGTTTCCAGACAGTATGGGTCAAGGCAGTTCATTCCAGCCACATGGGACTTGGTAGGGTCGGATTTTGCATTCAAAGGAGATCAGTATAAGGGTAAAGTTAAAGGGGTTGCTGAGGCCTGGAAGCAAACTCGTCGTGTGAATCTGTTCACTTATGATCTCGAGTTATCTCAAGAGTACGAGCAGTGGAGAAGCGGTCGAGTAAATGACAATATCCCGATGGTGAATCCTGAAAATATTCAGCCGGTGGAGGAACAGTTGAGAGTGGTGCCATCTCCATTAGAGTTAGCCAAGCGTGATTTCGAAGCAGAACGGAGACAATGGAGAATGACTTTACAGAAGCTAGAAGATGAAGTGTATCAAAAGGGATTGGAGATTGACATTCAGAAGAGTAGAGCAGATCGAATTGAAAAGTAGAGAAACAACTTCGGCTAGACTTTGACGATCTTCCGTCAACTTATCAGCGAATGGTAAAAGCTCAGACAGGTTCTAGCTCGAGTAAGTCTGTTGAATTGAGGCAAGAGGTGGCGAGCCTCAAAAGGGTAGCCGGAGAGAGTCAAGAAGAGCTCAAGCAAAGCAGGCACCAAGTGAAAATTTTATCGAAAGAAAAGGATTCTTTAAAGCAGCGGTTACAAAAGAGTCAAGCCCAGAATGAGAAGTTGAATGAGAAAATTTCAAGTTTAGAGACCGCACTACAACGATACCGAAATAAGGAAGATAGCTCGAGCCATGGGGAGGTTAAAAGTTTGAAAAAACAAGTGAGCGAGCTTGAAGCCATGGTTCAAGATTTTCAGAGGCAAGCAAGTGAGCTATCGATAGTTCCCTATGAGGGGGATATACAGTGGCGTTTTCGGTGGGAGCGAGCTCAGGCGAGAGTTAAGCAAATAGAGGATTTTATTGCTTGTTACCTAAACCACGCGCGGGGAATAGCTCAATATTTGGTCATTCTATCTGAGGAAGCTGCTGATGTGACTGAAGAACTGGATCCCGAGGCTGAAGAAAACC